ATCGACCACCATTACTACGATGAGGCACTGTCGAAAATGCTCCCGAGAGAGCGCGGCCAAGATCACGGCGACCAGCTGACCCGGCCTCTCAGCCTGGACCAGCTGCTGCCGGCCTTCGTCGTGCTCGCCGCCGGGCACCTCCTCGGCGCGCTCGTCTTCGCCCTGGAGCTCCTGTGTCGGAGGTGGGCCGAGCAGCGCGCCCCGCCGGTGCGCGTCTTCCTGCCCTGAAGTGGCTCTGGCTCGGGATGGGCGGCCGACCCGGGCGGGCGCTGTAAGTTGCCCGGTTGTACCCGCACCATACAAAATCAAGTTCGGAAGGGATTAGGATTAGAGTTTTTAAAAAGTACAAAGAAAAAAAAAAACAACGCGTGATATTGCGGAGAAGTTCCCCCCCTAAAAAGAGAAGTTAAATGTTCCTTTTAAAAATGTTAATTTTGAATCGCATTTATGGATTGAAGCAAGATTGTATCGGTGCATCTGTCAGCCCGAGGCGGCGTGCTTGCTGAGGCTCTGGAGAAGAAGGTCCTCTCCTGAGCAGTGTGCGTGTGCCGCGGTGGTTTCACCTGAGCCCGCCCGAGGGGGGTTGTGTGTGGCAGCACGTTCCGGTGCGGTGGGACACACTACTTGTTCAGCCTGTTCGACACCCTGCAACGTGCGTCAAGGGAGGACGGAGAGAAATACTCCTTCCCGACGGAAACACTATCGGTCGGGGCAGCCCCTACCCCGTGCTCCCAGTGCCGGCAGGATGACAGTGGAGCGGTCGGATGAGAGAGAGAGAGAGAGAGAGAGAGAGAGAGACTTCCTGACGTAATCTGGACAGTTTATTAAGAAGCATGGTAATAATGGGCACTTCACAAAGAAACGAGAGAAAGAGAGAAACGACCTTTTTTCGGCAAGGAATTTCACTCCTGCAGAGTTTTTCCAAAGGGCTGGTCGACGCCGAGGACGTTGTCGCCGCAGCTGACGTGGACGCAGCAGCCCGGGTACACCGCCGACTGATTCCCCTGGACGACCTCGCAGCCGTCGGGAGCGCCCTCCACCGGCGGGCAGCTGGAGCAAAACCAAAAGGTGAAGCGGTGTTGCGTATCGTGTGGTGACGCGCAGGGAACCCAAATGTGTGTGCCACACCGGACGTGTGATTCTAGCACAACACCAGACCAAGGTGTGTGAATGTAGCACAACATCAGACCAAGTGTGTGAATGTAGCACAATACCAGACCAACTGTGTGAATGCAACACAACACCAGACCAGATCTGTGAATGTAGCACAACACCAGGCCAAGTGTATGAATGTGGCACAACACCAAACTAAGTCTGTAAATGCAGCACAGCACCAGACCAAGTGTGTGAATGTAGCACAACACCAGATAATAGGTGTGTGAATGTAGCACAACACCAGATAATAGGTGTGTGAATGTAGCACAACACCAGACCGAGTGAGTGAATCATCATTCATACACCTGCAAGTGTGAGAAGCGTTTCACACACCTGCAAGTGTGTGTCCGACGTTTCACACACTTGGGTTTCCATTAAGTCCAGGGGAATTGAATAGTCGGGGTGTGGTTACGTACGAGACGGAAGACCACTGGTTCGGTTCGACGCAGGTGTAGGAGGCGCAGGGTTCAGGGCCAGTGTTAAAGGTTTCTCCCACCGACATGGCGTGCTTGGGGAACGGCGACTCGGTGAGCACGCATCCTGCTGGGCCTGCAACAGAGTGACAGAGGTCATGGGCGGCACAAAAGACTCCAAACACGACAGGTGTGACATGCAACTGTTGACGGGCATGCACTCCGAGGGGTCGACGACCGTCTTTTGTTTATTCGCTACTCGTTCCATACAAAACGCCTCATATATTTCGCGTTGAGGAGAACGAGTATTTTTTGGAAAGTATGTGTAGTCCCTTTTCTTAGCTTCATTCAAACGTTCAGCAATTTATGATAGCACGCGGCGCCTGCGATACTCGGGGTAGGCCACCCCGCGGTACATGCGTGCACTACATACAAGATTTGGCCTATCTCCAAGGCGCTATGCGCGACCTTCCATGGGCTCAACTCGGCCATTTTGGGAGGCACTTTTTAGATGACCAAAGGGCAATACTTTCTGATATTAGACTAACAGATGTAGTTGTTTTGTTTTTTGGGGGGTGGGGGCGTTGTTTTAGTGTTTTCCGTCGTGTCGACTACCAAGTCAGTACCTGTAGACCTTTCAAAATGCGCCTTCTGTTTTGAATCGGTTATGAGGAGTACAGGCACGGTTTGAAATGGTAACCAGATCTAGTTCAGGCCGAACGCTGCCGGGGGTGCGTGGACCGAGGCAAACACACATTGCATACAGACAACGATAATAATAAAAATGTGCGAGACGTTCCTACAGTTTTGGTTCCTCCCTTTCATTCAGTGGAAGTGAAATTTGACGTAGTTTGAATCTAGTTCCATAAAAACGTCGAAAACACAGTAGTTTAGAGCCAATAATTTTCCCGAACATCTGTCGTCGTTATTTTGTTCTTTTGACATATTTTTTGTCGAAATTAACTGTTGACGTAAACTTGCCGTTGCAAAAAAAAAAAAAAAAAAAAAAAAAAAAAAAAAAAAAAAAAAAAAAGATAAAAAAATCGGCCCACGGCATGCGGTGTGCACTTTGTAGAAAGTTATATTTTTTTTGTACATATTGATTTGAACTGTTTTGTGCACACTCACACAGTTAAAAAAATTGTTGTAAATTTACAACACATCTGAAGTAAAGTTTGATAGTAACAACAACCAATGTTGGTAAAAAAACAACACACGTGTTGTAATCCAACAACATTCACCAAATTTTCTGAAACAAATTTTCATTCCAAAACAGTGGTTACTTCCGCCTGCACCAAAAATTTATAATAACACAAACTTAATCGTTCTGTAACGATACATCTTGCTATCAAAATTTACAACGGTTTTGTTGTACTGTTACAGCATAATGAAAAATAGGAATCATTGTTATGGACCACTACGGGCAAAACAGAAGGAATTTTGCCACGTGCCAATGAAATAGAATGATGTTGCTTTTTACAAACTAGGCATTAGAAAGAGTGTGATAATTTGACAATTTTTTAACAGAGCATTATGTATTCGAAATCACACAAATTTGTCCATGATGTGATCGTAGATGATTTGAAATTATTTCAAATTTACAAGCACTTCGTACCGACTTTGTAATTGATGGACCACCAATATAGGTCCGTTAGCCAATTTACAGCATATGTTTTGTAAATAAAAAATTACAAAAAGTAATGCGGTAAATTTACGAGGCTACTTTTGTTATTCACAGTGTTGTGCACGCCTCACCTGGCCGAGGGGCCGCCGCCTTGCCTCCGCTCAGCAGGCAGACACCGGTGCAGCACACGAGGAGCAGGCGCCACATGCTGCCAGGTCCTCGCGCCCGGAGCGACTGACCCGCGGTAGGCCGGAGCACGCCGTCAGGAGGATGGCGCGTCCGGGTACACGGCCTCCCGCCAGTCTTTGGCTCGGAGCCACGCCAAACAAAAGCGGTCCTCCTCACCTTGAGGGCGCCGGGCGCGGGCCGGGCCGGGCCGCCGTCTCTCGAGGACCGTCTCCGGGAAGTGTCGCCGACGGGACTGTAGTGTGCTGTTTTTCAAGTAGTGTGTTTGTCTACTCCAGATAATATACTCTGTACAAAGTGGAAAACGCGGGCCCTATTGCAATGCTTCCTCGAGATTATCGCACTCCCAAACAAACAAGCAAACATACAAACAAAGAAGTACATTTTTGGTCGTGTGAGTTGTGAGTCATATAGGCTTCGCTATCGCACAGCCGTCACCCGCGTACCTCCAAAAGCATATGCGGTGCTTTGCTAGCCGACTGTCCATTTCCGCCAATTTTGACAAATAACTTCAGGGGCCTTTGGACTTGGAAGGCGCTGTATTAGAGGCGAGCACTTAGGACTTCCGCTTTCATATATCGATGTGAGCGACGAGTTATTTTTATTTAATATTTGCGGCCGTCCCGTCTCCGGGACCGGCTCTGTCTCCCGGAGGATGACAGGGTTTACTTGCCCCCTCCCCCCTCCACCGCTACCACTTCCACACCTCTAGCGGCAATGGCCTGCTGTCCGCGAACTTGTGTGTGTGTGTGTGTGTAGAGAGAGAGAGAGAGTATTTGCGATGTGTCTCCCTGCGCCACCTCCCTCCGCATACAACAGAAGTCAGTCAGAAAAACATTCGGAGGGGAATACCGGTCCTCCCCCACCTTCTCTCTCCCTCCCCCTGTCCGACGTTTCACACACTTGGGTTTCCATTAA